ATTTCTTATATTTATGTGCGAAATTCAGAATTATCTTTTTAATTGGTTTCTCTGCACTTTCCAAAGTCTCTGCATGTGGAGTTGTTAACGTTTGTACTTTATGTATTACTACTACTACTAATTCTTGCTATGGTAAACATATGAGGTGCACAATAGAGCACATGTGATGTATAGATATTTATCTAAAAGATGGTTACATGTAGTCAGGTGGTTCTGAGTCATGGTTGGTGACAGTGAAGTAGCGCCATCTGGTGACAGGTTTGTAAATTGCACATATTTCACAAGATGAGATGATGAATGGGGGTCATGAATATATGTGGGTTACAAAAATGATAGTATCCTAACAATGTTGGTATATAGTCACCAGAATCAAAATGATTTTATGTTTAGTGACTTGAGAAACCGTATATGTGTCATAAAGCTGTGATAGACAATATGTCGTAAACAAATTCACCATCTTTTATGAACATGTATATGTATAGTCTGATCATTTGAAAGGCAGACTATTAACTACCGGGTATGTAGGTAGCATGGAAAAAAAAGGTAAAAAAAAAAAGACGTGGTAGGGTAATCGTAGAAATATTAGAAGTTATTGGCCAGGTTGGCAGGTATATTTCAGATAGAAAATTTGCTACAATTTTTAGGGGACGTCAGTTATTGGTCCAGAATTGCATGTGTCCTAGAAATTGACACCAATAGTCTAAAGATGCATCCAAGAAAAACTCTGCATTGTCACAAATACATGTTTATTGGTAAAGTCTAAAGCATTTTGCCATTCAACATGGAGTAATAAAAACATCTACACATACTAACACATGTACACTTGTCATCATTTCTCATTGTGTACACATTTGCCACAAGACAGCTACATGTATATGTACTTCTAGTATTTGTCACAGCAACATTTAGTAGAAACTTCAACTTTGTTAACATTCACTGTCTATTTCCTCTGCAAAAGATGTCTCAAACACTTGTAAATATGTATTTGTTATGGAGCTAAGTAGCAGGGAGAAGGATGAAATACCATTGGATTCTATAAAACACAAGTCTCCACCAGACTCCTTTCCAGTCTATGCAGGTAAACTGGACCTTCTATGGCAAACTCCCCTTGCCAGCTACCAACATTCTTTTTAGGCCGGTTGCTACTATTCATTCAGCCTGCTAAGGAGTTTGGTGGAGACTAATAAAACGCATACATAGTACATATTACAGACATTTCCTGTTGCTGTAATATGTAAAAAACATCTCTTGTAGAAACATTTTTATTAGATGCTTGTTCTATTATTAATATTATTACACTGTTCTGTGTTGTTTTGAGATTTGAATGCCAGTGCATAGGTAGGAACACCAATGTGTAAAAGAATTTTCACAATACCGCAATGAACAAAACTGAACACAGTGCTTACATATTTCTGACTTTCCCACATACCATTGTTTCCATGTCATCATCATCTACCTACCTGCATAGCAATTCCTTCTTAAGTTGTAAATTCTTTGAATGAGTAGAAAAAACATTTCCAACATTAACACTACTGCCATCACCTATGCATAGAAACCAAGGACATTTAGAAACCAATATCTAGCACCCAAACTATATAGACATACATTGCTTGTGCTTGGCCGAAATAAATACTAGTACCTAGATAAATACTGGTGGCAGGCAAAAGTAACTACCTACAAATTGCAGCATAGACAAACCAGTACATGTATCATTTCAAAGGATACAACACTACTAAAACTTGATTGAATATTTGTAATACAGTTTCTGCTATGACAGTTCAAGAGACATTTCACTATAAAAAAAATAGTTGGAGAATTCAAATTTTCTAGTGACTTTTCAGTCAAATGTATTTGTACTTTGTTTTCTTCCTTGCGACCTAGGAATAATAATGGCTGGCATAGCCTACTCTTTCGAGCATTTTAAAACAAGTAAGTATTATTAATTGAGTCCACATACAGGTACCTGTTAGTATTACTGTTAGACCTCGCCAAAGTTGATGTGCCCAGTTTGCGTGGCGTGTTCCTGGGCTTGTTTCTGCCCCGTCAGACACGTGTTACACACCAGACAGCGCAGCGTGAAACCCGACACGTCCGTGAATTGGCGATTGCTGCGAGCTTCGGTGGCAAACTCCTGTGCTAGGGCGAGGATGGAGTCGTCCGTTGTCGGGAAGATTGTCTTGGCGGGAAAGTTCGGGTCCAGCGCCTCCAGGTACAGAGCATCGTAGTGGATGCCGTCATACAGCAAGAGAACACGCTGGTCATACCTACTGTCTTCTCCGAAGCGGTCTATTCTGCAAGACTGGATGTCCACGACGTCTATTTCAGTCTCATAGACTTTAGATAAGATGGAGACTTCTATAGCCCCTCCCCAGCTCTCGGAGTTCAGAATCCAAGCGCAGTACTCAGCATTGCTCTTTCCTAGGAGAGCTTCGTTGTAAAGAACAGCATTGGAGGCAACGACGTCTGCTATCAGATTCCTCATCTGTGTGGCACGCGACAGGTCCATGACTCCGCCCTCCATCACGAAACCGATGGCAGTGAACAGGCAGGAGTTGTTCGCTAGGCACGACTTTCCGTGTCATCACTCCTGCCCTGACAGGCTGAAGTTGCTATTACTGGTCGGGACTGTACGCCGGTTTGCTGGTACTGAAGTTGGGGGTGGTACTGGTGCCGGTGCTGCTGTCTTGCTCCTGTCTTCCTCTATCACTAAC